TGGAGCTCGAGGCTTCGGAATTCCGTTCCATGCGCTACTACACAGATAAGTACACTGAGGGATACCAAGAAAAGCCAATCGGTGGCTACCGTGCAGCAGCAGCACGGTAAAGTGAAAAAATGGGCGAGCGGGAATGGAGGTCTTCCTTAGATTTTACCTTTTCACCGCTAGACCACATGGGAGAATTTTTGGGCAAGGTTCAAGACTCGTTTTCTTGATTCGAGTAACACCTGTCCGTCTACCGGATAGTTGGCTGGGAGTGTGGGAGAGGACCAAACACTGTGAGCCCGAAGCCCAAACCCTCTCTGGGTCTCACCTTGGGCCATAGGATCACAGATCATGTTTGGCTACGCTGACTATGTCACGGAGTCTGGCCCATGTTTCCCGACATATGTTAATGCCCCCCAACCAACTTGGGACAAGACTTAGAAAAAGGAACGAGACAGGTTCATGGGTGGAAGTTCCACCGTGGAACCATCTCGGTCTCACAACACACAGTTCGAACGATAACATCAGAATCCACCAAGGGGTAATTTGAAACTATCAGTAAATATCTGAAGTGTCAGTCAGACTGCATGACAACTGCATGAACAGGGCAGGTGTTCCTACGATCACTGGGCTTGAGTCGTTGCCTAACAGTTAACGGACTCCCTAAGGGAGTCTCCCTTGAATCAGTTCGTCCTTGGATGATAGTCTTCACTTGCTGATAGTCTGGGTTTCTGGTTTCCTTGGGATCAGTTCTGCCTTCGTCGAAGGCCCTTCGATGACAGTTTTCACTTGCGTAATAGTTCGGGTTTCTGGTTTCCTTGGGATCAGTTCTGCCTTAGATGATGACCTTCACCTGGATAAGAGTTCGGGTTTCGGGTTGCTTCGTCGGGTTTCGGGTTTCCCGATCTCCGTTTTCACCCGCACTCCTTTGTTTTTTGGGTGGACTTGCAAGCTATAATAGCTTAGCTATTTTACTTTCAGTTAAGGATTCCCACTTGAGTAACCGTCATCATCCTGATGACCGTTTACCTTGAGATTCGTGCTCTCGCTCACATTGGGATTTTGCCCTGCGAGTGGTGTTTTTTTATCAAGTTGACTCCCAAATAATATTATCTTTCTTGTCTTCTCTGTGCGTGCCTGATCTTCAATTTCGCCCTCGTAATGATCGATTTTGAGTTTAGCTATTCCGTTGTTTTTTGTTCACGGTGAAACCCGAACTGTTACCCAACTGAAGGCTACCATCAAAGGCAGCATTAGTCCATAACTGCTGTCTTGAGAGTGCCTAAGGCCATCGGAGTTGGTTTCAGCGAAATCGTCGTTCTGCCCCGTTCATGTACTATTTGTGCAGTCTTACTGACAGTTCAGATATTTACTGATAGATTCAGTCAGAGCCCATCAACACGCAGGTTCAAACCTTGCAAAATCAACCTCATTGCAATAATCAACCACGGCTGATCGACGAGCGTGGAGTTCAGGTAGTGGAAGAACTTCTTGGTCCCACATAACTGAGGAGACGACGCCTCCGAGAGATTGAATATGTGATAACTCATCACTGATTAGCCATTGGAGTATTTTCTGCACGAACTAAGCATGCACAGACGTTCAACTTGAACGGTCCAATGAAGTTCCACCCATGTTGTGTGCAGGCTACACACAACACTATCCGTTCTGTACTAGGACTGCACAGTGCAGCGCTAGTGCAGAACGGATAACGTATAGTGCATAACGCGTTACGCAACGTGAGATCGATCAACTCAGAGGTCGACATGTAGAGAACGTTCAGCCTGAACGGTTCAGGTGTTCAATGTATCGTCATCCGTAACGTATTAGCCTAGTGCGTCGAAGGGAAAACAAAACCCCTACAACAACAGAGACTACAACGATATTCCAAGTTGAGTCAGCAGAGATACTTAGCCTGTATTTGACGAATATTATCCGTTGGTGGAAGAGGAGATACGGGGTGGGCGCTAAATAAATGACAGCACTCGCGAATGTGAGTTACTGATCTTTTATGAATTGTCCGCGGAAACATAGCGGTCCTATCCGCCGAATAGATTCTTAGGAAGTATGGGCGTTGAGCGATTCACGCGACCGAAGGTTCGAGATCTGTGAGGAGCCGCCATAGCATCGCACCCGAAGTTAGCAATGCTAAGCGATCGTTCCGGAAACTATCCCTTGCTTGATGATTACACTTCCCGAGTCACGCCGTGATCCAGGAAGTATTTCAGAGGATAGATCAAAATAATAGTTTATGACTTCGCGCCGCCGTTCAATATGACTTCTCAGTAGTCCCTACTAAAATGGTGTCAGGAATAGCGGACTGAAGGCAGAGAAGCGCAATCCGGCGAACACGATTCAACGAGAGAACATCCCGTCAGAGGCTCGTTAGACTGGATGAGAGTTCTATCCGCTTGAATTAATTACGGACCCGAGTTGAGAGTGAAGCTTGACTCCAAGATTGAACTACTCTTGTGCTGACCTACGTCTCCTGGGTGATCGACCTCTTCCTTGGCAGAAAATTCGTCAAAATTTGAGATTCTGGAGCTGAGGTGCGATTCCTTGTCAAAATGTCAGGTGCTAACTACCCCTCCTCATTGAGGAGTCCTCACGTGAGATGATTTCCTAAGGGCACTCTTGACCGGGTCGAATTGACCCGTACTTACGGTCTTTACGGACCTTAACGTCCAGAAGCTATGGACTATGAGAGAGGTACCTTGTGGCACCTCATGTGGCACCTCTTCACCTTGACATTTCTTCATCTCTTTTTTCTACTCAAATTCACGGCTCAATGTGATTTCTCCGTGGGTTACCCGACTCGATGCTTCGTGGCCATTTCTGGCGAGTTTGTTAGAGAACCTATTGTGTTACATTTTCACAAGCCAGTGCATGCTCAGCCTTTGTCGGGCTGCTATGTGTGCTATTCGAAACAAATCTAAATTAGACGGCTAGAGGAGAAATGTGGTGAAATTTGCCTACATACCGTAGCAAATACCGGTTTGATCCTAGCGCGCGCCCGGGTCCCTACTGAAAATGGTCAATCCTGAAAATGGTGTGAGTCCGTACCTGGGATTTTTTGACCCTCCAAAATTGGTGGAAGCCTGATAACAGTGAAAAACAACCTCGCTCGCCTCGGTATCGTGAATATCAGCCATTCTCATACCACTCGCTCACGAAACAACATAACTTAAGATCATCTCTCTCTCTGCCCGCGGAACTTTCGAGTGGTGGGATCGTTCTGAGCAAGATGTGCTGATATCGAATTTCGACAGTATAACTCTAATCCTAGCTCTAATCTTTTCACGGCCAGTTCTTACTATCGTAACGAACT